CCCCCCCCTTTCTTTTACTATTTTGTTCCCTATGTGGAAGTCGCTTATGAATCGTGCTCGGTTCACTGCACGGGAAGAAGCAGCTTGTGTTCTGGATCGAGGATTTGCTGTTGCAAAGCACTCCAACTTGCATGCAGTGGGGCAGCCTTCGCTATTCTAACCGCCGTGGTGATGTGCTGAGGAGCCCGTGCATAGGGATATCTTTTGCAGCCACGGCACCGAAGGTAAGAAGGGGCTTGGGGAAAAGAGGGATTTTTGCATCCTTTCATATTAGAGCTCATGCCCAGTATCCCCCTCCAGCAGGGCATCAGCAGTTCGTTCACAGCAGTATGAATAGGATGGAACCGATCGAGTAAAATGTTCTTGTGGAAAGCACATGGAGCTGGCAAGTGATTGCAAATATATATTTATTTTTAGTCTGGTAACATAATGTTTTACGATCTGTGCTCAACAGCGAGGACAGAGCTAACTTGCATAGCTCAGGAATGAGGAGATCTGTGGGCTCAGCCTCTGATGGGCAGTTTGCGTTGGCTGTTACATTGTGTTGAATGTGTACCCCCCACAGCCTCCCTAGAGCATCCTATCATCCTGTTGGATTTGGTGGGGTGTTTTTTTGTGGGTTTTTTTTTTTTTTTTCTGTTTTTTTCTTTTTTCTTTTTCTTTTTCTTTTTCTTTTTTTTTTTTCTAGATGGAGTGGCTGGTATTAATGAGAGAGGGAGAGGGATGAAAAAAAAAAAAACAACCAAAAATAAAAACCATATGGAGCATTTTATTGATGTGATCATAATCCTGTAATGGAGATTGCATTAAATGAGGATTGCATCAAAATGTCTAGCTGCTGTGAGGAGACAAGAAAGCAGAAACTATGCTGGATTGTAAATGAAGTTCTTAGATTGAAGGATTTTCTTGAACCATGGAGGGATATCTGTGAGCTTAAAGTTGCTGTGTATGTGGAGTACTGGAATGGGATAAAGCAGAGATCAAGCTGAAATATATTTTAAATTACTCAAGCTCCGTATGCAGTTAGAATTGGTTAGAGAAGCATTGCAGTGATGTCCAATGAATACTTGGTTTCAGCTATGGAGACCACAGAAAGGCAAGGAAAGAGAACACAGAAAGGCAAGGATAAAATATTTCTTACCATTCAGGGAAGGGAAGGATGGTTCATTTATGAGTTTTGCCATAATGGCACAAAGCCTACAGCCTGCTGGTCACACACAGAAGCCCTGTAGGCTGTAGAAAGGAGAGGATTTGTCTTCTATTCCTTTTGCAGCCTTGGTGTAGTTGCCTTTAAGAAGTAGCTCTGAATTCAGTGACAAGAGGCAAACAGGGACTTATTTGCCCCCCTCGGACATGAAAAACAGCTGTAAGCTTGAGAAAGGTGGACCCAACTCATCTGATCCTGTCTTTTTGAGCTTGAGTTGATAAAGCATTTTGAGTAATTGTTGCTGCTTATCACAATTGGCAAAGGAGGGGGAAGATGTTCAAGTTTATTGAACCGAAGCAGAGCTGAGGACAACAGTGGATAACAGCTTACCCTTGCCTTCTTTTTTGCTGAATTTTATTCTGGCAAAGACAACTTTGTGGCATGAGCCACAAAGAGCACCTTCTTTGAGTCTTTTTGAAAGGAAACCCAAAGAGAACAGAAAGATTAAGCCAAAGATAAATGTTCACTTTTTGCTTGTCAGCAGTGGAAGCAGTGTTGATCTGTCAGACTGCACAGGTCAAAAGAGGTAAGACAGGAGAAAAGTTTGTCATTTATTTACAAACTTCTTCACACACAATGGAAGTTGTTATACAAATAAGCAGCATAGACTGGGAATGACCCATTTCTTAGAACCACCTACACTGTAATTTAAATAAACAATAGAGAAATTTCCTCTAAAGATACTCATTAGTATCTTTGTATAACTGCAAAAGAGTTGGTTAATTATAAAATTATGTAGATTAAAACAAAACAAAATATCCCAGGTTGTCAGAAGTAATTTGTTTTCCCATTTGAGTTGTGTACAAAATCAGAGGTAATAGCTCCGCTGTTGAGTGTCTCTCCTGCTGTATATTTAGCATAAAGTTTAGACAGAAATTATTCATTTAAAATAATCAAAGGAAGTGAAGAAAAGCAGCTTAAGAGTATTGAATTCCTCTTAAGTGTTTTATTTTGGCAAACGGAGACTTCTTGTGATTTGTAAGAGATGAGTTTAGAATATTCATGGCTAAGCTCCAGGGAGCTTAGTGTAGGCTCAGTAGGCAGACGGTTCTTCTGAGGAGATATCTGGAAAAGATGTGCTTAGATTTCAAGCCATGTTCAATTGAGACTGTTGATATCCACCTTCCAAAACAACTGTTATGATGCTGAGGGGAACGATGCTGAGTCTGGAAAATAAGGCAAGCATTCCTGCCTCACTTTTTAATGGAAAAAGTAAGCGGTGTTCATTAATTATACTTCTGTATGTACAAATGTTCCAAAATTGACTCCAATTTTTATCAAGTTACAGCTGAGACAAAATTTATCTTCTGAAAACATGGTTGTCCATGCAGATCTGGGTCTGTAATTTTTCTGCAGAAGAACTCTTTATTGCTTCATGGCTGCATTGTTCATCCTTGCAGCATTTCTTTGAGTGTAAGCCTTGCTGTAGTTAAAGGATAATTTATATTCAGTGTAGTACTGTCTGCTCAGTGGAATTGGCTTTATACATCACAGCCTCTGAGAAAAAGGAGATCAAAGATCTGAACCTGCGGTCCTGTATTGCATTTGTAGTCTTACTCTGTAGTCTTTCACACTTCCATAGTTAAGATATGTCAATCATTCTATTAGAACACCCATTTATTTAGTAATTTAACATTTAGTTTTGCAGATGGGATCTAAGCTTAATGCATTCATATGGTATAAAAGAAGTTATCCTAAGTAATGAAGTGTAATAACAATTGACATTTGCTAATATAGCACTGTAAAGTTGGATTTATAGAAAGCTTGGTAGAAAATAATGCCAGCCTGAGCAATTTAGAGAAGAAAAACAACAACAACAACAAAATAATTTATTTCCAATCTGGAAAGCCTTATGGAGCCAGGTGGGTGTTTATAGTGGGCTTTAAAGGGGCCTGGGATTATTAAGGAGGCAGTAGGACTCTCCTTAAAGTAGAATAGCCCTGTCTTACCACGGGAATTAGTCAGATCTCGATTTACTGGTTCAATCTGAGGCTGTTTTAGATGCCCTTGGCATTATTCTAGATATTTCTTCTAAGGGCAGAGTTACAAAAACCGAGCACAGCCCCCTGTCTGTGTCTGAATCCTTTAAGTTATCCTCTCAAGAAGCTAACAAGAACCACGCTTTTTGATTAACATTGAGTGTCAGACACAGGTGTTAAAAGGATTTTGGGGATGCAGTGGCTGAAGCACGCTCACCAGATAGTTCACTTGAGAACAGCAGTGTAGAAACCAAGTCCTTCTGTCACAGGTGCCGGGGTGGTACTAATGGTCAGTGCACACTTTGAGACCTTTCTTCTAAAGCATCCCCAGACCTTTTCCAATTGCCTGTCTGTTAGTCAGCCGCCTCCAAAGAGCGAGGTCGTTGCTCCCAGGCTCGTAACCTCTTCATGGGTATTGCAGGCTGGAAGTTACAAACTGGAAATACATGTGCAGTCAGTGCTTCAGCTGCATGTCCTACACGGTGCCTGTGACTGGGCACAGGCCCCAGATATCACATGCTGTTTTCCCAAGCACATTGCAATAGAATAAATGGGTGTCCAATTCAACGAAAGTTTTGCCCCTTAAATAAAAATTGATAAGGAGGATTAACAGTCTGCTGTCTCAATTGCCTCCTTCTGCAGTGAGATCACTGAGGGAATTTATAGCAGTTGTTAGTCTTCAGCGTGGCAAAGGAGCGATGAGCATTTCTTGTCTCTTCTGAAAATTCATGCTCCCTGCGTATATAAAGGCAAGTAATATGAAGTGGGAAATTTACTGTGGAAATGGGAATTTGATTATCTCATAAGATCTGTAGGGAGACTCCCATTCTCATTATCCAATGGTAAAATAAGGAAAATAGATTTAAAAGGCAGTCTTTTTCAATTACGGGCTCTGAATTAGCAGAGTGACTTGCCAGGAAGCATAAAAGCTTCTGTAGCTTTCGCACTTCTAAAAGCTCCGCTGTAAGAGGAGTTTAAACTGTCCTTAAAATTATCTTAAAGGTGTCACACTGTGACTAATAGTTGAATACAGGGAAAATATATTCTGAGTATTGCTGCTTATTACCCCTGGCACAAGTGAAAGAATTTTTAATTCTCATAAAACTTTTTAGAACAAAACCCACGTCCAAATGAGGATGACAAACAATATTTTTCACAGTAACATTTTATACTTGAATGGAAAGAAAAAGCCCACCCCAGTTGCAGGGAAGGTTTCATTAAGGTCCAGGGAAAGTGAATGTAAAAAACAATATTGCTATAAAAGACCATGGAATTTAAACATGCAGATAAAATCAAATCATGGTTCTGACAGTAAACAAGGAACTGTAAAGAGTCGTGTCAGTGCTTTTAATAAATGGCCTGTTGAACATCAAGTATTTCAGATACTCTTAGAAAATAAATGTTCTTCCACAGATAATGTAAGACTTCTTGATCCAACACAGTGAGGGCCAAAGATTCTTGTCTGCAAAAGCATTTCTATTGGAACAGGGCCTTGAATAATTTTTTGTATTATGAAACATAGATACCTTAACACCTGACACTTATTTAGGAGCTAAACATGCTAACATGGTATCAAAGGTATTGTTGTATAGAAGTTTTGCTTGAGAATGGTAGAACTTAGGCTACTAAACAGCAAGTGCTTTTAACTTTGCAAGGGAAGTTCTTTTGAAATTAATGTTGTTTTCCTTTACATAAGTTGTGATATACAACTAGGACTGTATCATGGCAAGCAAATCTACGTAACCAGCTCAGCAGAGCTGAATATGTTCTCAGAGAGACAAATGAACCTTGAAATTAATGGTGACTTCCAAATTTAATAGTGAAATTATAAACCGAGGTGGTCCATTGTATTTAAAACCCATCTCTGTGGGGTTAGATAGAGGAGTTCTCTGTGCTAGGAAACTTTGCCTGCTTCATTTACCTGGCAGGAGAACATCTTACATTGTATAAGGCTTTGATTTGATAGGGCTGTTTAAGGGAATGCTTTTCTGCTGGTATAGAAAGAATATGTCACTGGTGATGTAGTCAGCAGTGTTTA